AGACAACTCTGAAGACATCGAAAAACCATTAAGGCAAATGGACCACATCCTCCTCCTGGACTCTGCTCTCTCATACCCCCTCAACACTTACGGCTTCCTGTAGGGGGAACTAATGGATGTCAAAAAACCGCAAATGACCCCTAAGCAGTCTCACGCCGAGGGGAAGCTCCCCTCACCCTTCCCTCCCTCCCTCCCTCCCTCCCCCACCCCCCCCACCCCAAACAACATATCCGATATGTTGGGACCCCTCACCTACACTCAGCCTCTACATAGCTTACTTACTATCATCAAAACTATTATCTACACACAGGATTAAGTCTACGGCAAACACACATACATATTCATTTACTACTCTTTCCACTCTTATCCTTGTATTTCTTACTCTACCACATAACCCACATACTCTCCTACATCCCCAACAACATGACCTACCCTCTTTCCTGACCACATACCCTAACACCGGACGCTCACACGCGTCCGACACGCGCCAAACTTCCGGGAAAATTCCCCCAAACCCTTTGGGACTAAACACCTGCGCGCCACCTGCCCAGCTGACACTCAAGAGTGCCACCTGGGCAGATGGCGCACGCGGTTCTAGTCCTCATCTTCACTCACTTACCCTAACACCGGACACTCATACGCGTCCGACACGCGCCAAACTTCCGGGAAAATTCCCCCAAAACCCTGTGCGACTAGAGCGACGCGCCACACCTGTCCAGGTGGCACTCAAGAGTGCCACCTGGGCAGATGGCGCGCGTCGCTCTAGTCGCACTTTACCCTACTCTAGTTCCCCAGGTCAGGACTGAACTGAAGGAGATGGAAAGAGAAGGTGTGATTGAAAAATCTACTTTCCCCTACTCCAGCCCCATGGTAATAGTGAAGAAACCTGATGGGGGAGTAAGGTTTTGTCTTGATTTCAGGAAATTGAACTCGGTCATAAAGTTTGATGCAGAACCCATGTTTAACAAAGATGAGATTTTCACTAGGCTGGCGCCAAGCAATTATTTCTCAAAGCTGGATCTGACGAAGGGATTCTGGCAGATCCCACTGCATCAAGACAGCAAGAGATGCACAGCTTTCATGACTAGTGAAGGTCTGTATCAATTCACTGTTCTTCCCTTTGGGCTGGTGAATGCCCAAGCAGTGTTTCAATAGGACTATGAGGAAGGTCCTGGGGGGCATCAAAGGGGTGGAAATATTTGTGGATGATGTACTTATCCACTCTACCACTTGGGAGGAGCATCTGCAACTGCTGAGACAGGTATTCTCATGGCTGCAAGGAGTTGGCATGGTCGCCAAACCTACCAAGTGTGATATGGGATGCGCCGAGATCAAGTACCTTGGGCATGTGATCGGTGGAGGCTGTTCCAGGCCTCTACCTGATATCTTGAGATTATCTATCTTGTGATGATTTCGGGGCTTTCAGTGTCCCAGCGCCCCAGTCCTCAACCAGGCCTTCACCCCCAGGAAGCAGCTCGTGACAGCTGACTAAAACCCAGGTACCTATTTTACTGCTAGGTAACAGGGGCATAGGGTGAAAGAAACTCTGCCCATTGTTTCTTGCCGGCGCCCAGGATCGAACCCGGGACCACAGGATCACAAAACCAGCGTGATGTCCGCTCGGCCGCCCGGCTGCCCTTATCCCCTCCCGGATAAGATACAGAAGATACAGAATGCTGTACCACCCACCACCAAGACGCAGGTGAGGTCATTCCTTAGTCTGGTGGGTTACTACAGGAAGTTTATTCCCAAACTTCGCCTCTGCAACCTATCCCTTAACAGAGTTGACAAAGAAGGCTGCCCCTACTAGGTCAACTGGACGGGAGAGGAAGGTGCTGCTTTCGCTTGCTTGAAAAAGATGGTCGAGCAGCCTATCTTGCGGCTACCCGACGAGGATAAGGAATACATCCTCAGAACTGATGCTTCCAACACAGGAGTGGGAGCTGTACTTCAGCAGAAGCATGACGGCCTAGTGTGGCCGGTCGCCTACTACAGCCGGAAGTTGAGTGACGTAGAGCATCGGTACTCGACGGTCTAGCGAGAACTGTTGGCAGCTGTGGTAGGCATTAAAAAGTTCTATCAGTATGTGTATGGAAGGTGGTTCACCTTCCAAGTAGACCATCAGCCTCTTAGCCACTTGAGTATATTGAAGAACGCTAATCCTAGGATTATGCGGTGGGCTCTATTCTTACAGCAGTTTTAGTTCAGGGTCGAGTACATCAAGGGGGCCGATAATGTGGGTGCTGATTGGTTAAGCAGGTCGCACACGCCAGAGGAGCAGGTCAGTGACCCGATGCTCAGTGAGGTAAGCGGTCTGCACTTAACAGCTGAGGAACGTGATGATGCGTCATCAAGGTCAGAGGAGAGTGAAGATAGTGCCTCTCCAGGTAGTCCATCCCAAAGTGTTGCTAGAGTGTCTGGTATGACACAGACTGAAGCCGGAGCTGCAGAGCTTGGGGTCCAGCCTAGCTTCGAGGCGTTGAGCTGGCTAGAGCCTGGCCCTGGAGCCGAGCATCACTCCGTGCCTAAGTCATGTAACACTACCCAGGATGACCGGAGGAGTCACCCTAAGTCTCCCAGGGCGACGACGCATAGAAAACGGAGTCTCCACCCACTACTACTCAGCCGGAAGTGAGCTGTCAAAGTGTTGTGTGACAGCTCGTGCACAGTGCACCATCGAGCTGGTAAAATGTGGGGGTGTATTTCGCTTCCAGTGAAATAAACAATAGTGGGAGGCGTCCATTAGAACAGGGAAAGGCGAAGTTTTCAACAATTCTATGACAGGCCCTTGCTATTAATCGGCCTTGGAGTGTGCAACTACTCCAGTAGCAATCTAAAGATTGCATCGGTGGACAACCAGTAGGTTAAGTGTTCTAGTACTTTTCATCAGGAGACATATTTTTCCTGCTCTCTCGTGCACTGGATGAAGTACGAAATTGCATAGTGCACCAGTGATGTGCACCGTGATTCAACTTCTGAATATAACTTTTCCACAGTCGTGTTGGGTGTCGTTGGACAGCCCGTGACATTTGCTAGCCATTGATGTCATTCTGACCTTCAGGTCTGTGAAGGAAATTACAGGAGGGAGTTGATTTCAAGGAAATTTTTTGTACAGTCAAGTGTAGAGAGGGAGGTATGGGGGGGGGGGGGTTAACGACTGTAGACCACCCCTCCTATCACGTGTCCACCTCGTGAGAGAGGGGGTAGCGTCGTGAGGCAGGTGCGCCATTGGCCAAGGCTCTTGGGCCTCAGGAATGCTGAGCCGTGATTGGTCAAGACGCTGAGGGGTGCCGCATGGTATCCTAGGGCCGTTTTGACGCAAAAAAAATAATTCTTACGTAGAACGTTGCCATAGGGGCCTCGTAGCCCGGTGGATAGCGCGCAGGACTCGTAATTCTGTGGCGCGGGTTCGATTTCCGCACGAGGCAGAAACAAATGGGCAAAGTTTCTTTCACCCTGAATGCCCCTGTTACTTAGCAGTAAATAGGTACCTGGGAGTTAGTCAGCTGTCACGGGCTGCTTCCTGGGGGTGGAGGCCTGGTCGAGGACCGGGCCGCAGGGACACTAAGCCCCGAAATCACCTCAAGATAACCTCAAGATAGGAAGATGTACTTCTCGTGCTAATGGCCAAGCATCGTGAAATATCGCCAGCAACGTTACTAAAGTCACGCTTATCGTCGTGCTATCTTTCTGGGTGCCGTCTGTACGAATCCGGTATATCGGAAAGACGTTTCCAGCGATTTATGTGTGAACTGAGACATCTAAGCCGCGTGTTTGTGAGACGCCATCTCAGTGCAACTGAACTGAGTGAGGCTGTTAATATCGGCTAGAGTAATCGTCTTCCGCCATCTATCGTATCTTAGCTTGAAGGTACTGCAGTGAGACGATCTAGAGAAGGTTTTAGTGTTATGAGAGAAACCTTAAACTTGTAATTCCGAGGAATTAGTAGTGAACAGTGAAGGATTCTGTCTCGTGTACTGTGTAACACCGTGTACCGTTGTATCCTGGGGTACCGTGTCATGTGGATGGGCGTGGTACCGCATCCCAGCTGTGTAATCTGTTGTGCGCGCACCATGGCTGCCCTAAGCCGGCGTGTTTGTGCCCCTGGTCTCTGTGTGTGGAGCTAACCCCGTGGTCTAGGACCCCGTGCTCCAACTGAACACGTGTAGGAAGTGAGGATGCCTACATCATCATCCAGCAGCAGCAGTGGGAGTGAGGTTGACGTGTATGTATGTGAGTGTGTGTGGCGGCCCGCGAGATTGATGTAAGTACACTGTTTCCTTTTGGTTAATAAAACTCTGAAGCTGGTTTCGCACCCAGTGGTCCGTCTGTCCTCTGTCTCAAGTCGACCACCTAGTGAGTTGAATGGGAATTGGAGACGTGTGAGTTTACCCGGTTTGTTGTCACCAAGTTGAGGTTGAGCCCAACTGTGAGGTTGACGTGTGAGGACACCTAGAGGCACATTCAGTGGTGGTGTAAAGTGAGTTTTATTTGTTTCCATTTTCTCTATGTGCCGTGTATGTAATTTGCTGTAATTTGATTCCCTTTTTCAGCATGAAAGTGGTAACAGGGAGGTTTCCCTTGGTTATAAATAATTTCCATTATTATATTGGCCAGCGCTTATTTTACTGTTGTGTTGTGGTAAAGTGATACTGGGGAAGTCATTTACAAGTTTTGCCGTGAGTGGCAGGATGTACTGTGTTGAACCGTGTGTAAACCGTAGACAAGTTTATCCTTGGTGGAATGCGTTGTGTACTGTGAAGGATTCCGTGAGAATTAAAGTCATTTAACGTCACCGGTGTCACGATTTACCTAACGAGGTCACTTGTTTTGTTGAACATTGTTGTGATTAATGTAGAGACGTGTAAAGGCAACAGTCACAGTGAAGTTCATGCAGTGGAAGAATTGTCAAGTGAAGACTAACGTAGTGTAACGATATAATGAGCAGTCGTTAATTGATTGATTAACATAAGGGGTTGACCAGTTTGTTATGATCGGAGTCAATTGCGCTGGTATTTGTTGGCCTGATCAGATCTGTCTGCGGACAGAGGGATTAAGCACTCATAGCTAATTAAAGAGAATTAGTACTGCCACTTAGTGAATTCACCAGGTGTTGATGTTGTTGTTTACACGGAGTGTATTGTAACCTTGTGTGTGGTACAGTCGTCTACCCTCGTTAAGGTAATCTTGTCGTAAGACCAGAAGTGAACTGTCAGTTGAGAGACAGTATCAATACTCGTCTGAATAATAGGCTTTTGTATACAGTAATTAATTGGGAATTACTCACCGAATGCTTGACTTTCAAGTTGATGTAATTAATTGATTTACGAGTTATTGCTGCCATTTAAGTGTCGTAGACACGTGTGTGTTAACGTAATTGTTTAAATTCAATTAGAGTAACTTTTGTTGTTGAGTGTCCTGAGAGACAAGTGTTAACGTAAGATTTTTATAAGGGGTTATCATTCTTGGATTAACCGCCTTGTTACTTGGTACCTCGTTGAGAGCAGCGAGCGCCAGTCAAGTTTTGTGATTATAGTATTTGTTCACCGTGAAGCCGTGACAATATTGATTGCAAGCTTGCGTCATCAGTGGGCACCACTTTGTTCAGTTAGTGTCATTAGTCAGTCAGTGACGACGGGATAAGGATACCGTGGGTCCATCAGGCTGTTGATTAGCTGTTCTTGAATGTGCCACTGGAGTGACAGTAAAGTAACGTAAATTCTTTGTTGTAGTAGTTTTAGCTTATTTTTGTGAATAATTTGTATGTTATAGAAAACGGTCGTTTACATTAAACCTTCGTATATTACTGCCCCACATTTCATGTTCTGCAACTCTTTGTCTGATTATGTTCATATCAAGTCTGTATCTATAGCTTGAGTCCATTGCACAGCACCACACTTCTATAAATATGAAGAGAATCCGTCGGAACCCTTTATTAGTTTGTCAACTAGGGGGAGTCAGCGACCTAAGTGACAGGTGTTACGTCTGTTAATTATTTCGCCTGCTGGTTTGCTCCCGCGGTCCTATGATCTTAGGCTTTAAGATTAAATATCTGCCACTGGCAGCTCTTGCTGTTTAAGGTCTGCCTCTCTTGCAAGGTAGTTATGATTAACGTAACATTATTAGGAATTAATTCTTTTCATAATTGTCAAAGAAAATAAAATCTCACACTTTTATAGGAGCTCGCTATAATTTTACTCTGCACTTGTCCATCATTACGCAGCAATACCTCCCCAAATGCAAAGTACATCCGCAAGTAATTTGATTTTCCCATCCATTGAATAGTAATGACACAATCTAATTTGTATAGACAAATTTTAAAATCCATTGGGTTTTCAGCATGTGTTGGAGCTGCCGTGTCGCAACATTTTCCCACGCTACGCTAGTGGATCATGTGTTCTAGCAAGTTCCAGATGACGCCAACTCGACACCGCATCTCCGTTCACTGTCACAGATAAGCAGCTGAACTCATTATAATTTAGTTCCTATTTACTAATGCACGTTTGAAACCTATTAATAATTTGAGAATGTATTTCATTTACGTGATTTAGGAAATCAAGTATAATTTGATAGCCTCATGCACTTTAGATGAGAATAATATTCTTGTTTAATCATTATCCAATATATTCTAGCTACTAACCAAATTATCAAATGTTTGTTTTATTTATATATCTTAGTAAGAGTTACTAAATTTTTCAAGGAAGAACCAGCCTCGATGAAGTGTACTGGAAATACTCAACTTCCGGTATTTACCCCCCCCCCCATTTGTGAAGTTTGGGAAAGTTTACTTTTTGAATAGTAATTTAATCTACAGTCCATTAATATTCGTGGGATAATTCTTAATAGTGACATTATCCACAGGCACTGGTATTTCAGTCCTTTTCTACTGCTTATTTATCTGTTTCCCTTTTCATTAAAAATAGGGAGGTCCTGCAAGTAATTTAAGTCAATCAATTAAATATCAATATATTGAGTGCAAGCTTTTCTTCCCGACACCATAGTATCGTCACCACCAGCAATGACATCACTACCAGCAATGGCATCACTACTAGACATAATAGACTACTAGACATTATAACCACCAGTTATAGCGTCCCCACCAGCCAAGGCATCACAACCAGCCATTGCATCACCACCAGACAATGGCATCATCACCAGCCATGGAGTCATTCCCAGCCATTGCTTTACTACGAGCCATGGCATCACCTCTAGCCATGGTGTCATCACCAGCCATTGCGTCATCCCCAGCCATTGCGTCATCACCAGCCATGGCGTCATCACCAGCCATGGAGTCATCACCAGCATAGCGTTAACATCACCAGTCATGGCATCACCACCAGCCATGGCATCACCACCAGCCATTGCATCACCACCAGCCATGGTATCACCACCAGCCATTGTGTTACCACCAGCCATGGCGACATCACCAGCCATGGCGTCACCACCAGCCATGGAGTCACCCCAGTCAATGCGTCACCTCCAGCCATGGCGTCATCACCAGCCATTGCGTCATCCCCAGCCATTGTGTCATCACCAGCCATGGAGTCATCACCAGCCATGGCGTCACCACGAGCCATGGCGTCACCACCAGCCATGGCGTCACCACCAGCCATGGCGTCACCACCAGCCATTTCGTCAACACCAGCCATGGCGTAATCCCAGTAATGGCGTCACCACCAGCCATAGAGTAACCACTAGCCATTGCGTCACCACAAGCCTTTGCGTCACCATGAGCTATTGCGGCACCACCAGCCATGGCATCGTCACCATCAGCCATTACTTTGTCTCCACCAGCAATTGCATCGTCACCACCAGCCATGGTTTTGTCTCCACTAGCCATTGCATGGTCACAAACCATGGCATCATCATTAGCAATGGCGTCAACACCAGCCATGACGTCATCACCAGACATGGATTCATCACCAGCTATGGTGTCATCACCAGCCATTGCGACATCACCAGCCATGGCTTCACCACCAGCCATAGCGTCCCCACCAGCCATGGCGTCACTACTAGATATGGCGTCACTACCAGCCAAGGCATCACCACTAGACCTAGTGTCACCACCAGTCATTGCATCACCACCAGTCATTGCATCACCACCAGTCATTGCATCACCACCAGTCATTGCATCACCACCAGTCATTGCATCACCACCAGCCATAGAGTCACAAACAGCCATTGCGTCATCACCATTAATCGCGTCACCAACAGCCATGGTGTCACCCCTAGACATCGCATCACCACAAGCTATTGCGTCATCATAAGCCATGGCGTCACCACCAGCCATTGCGTCACCACCAGCCATGGTGTCACTAACAGTAATGGAGTCAACACCAGCCATGGAGTCATCACCAGCTATGGAGTCATCACCAGCCATGGTGTCATCACCAGCCATTGCGTCACCACCAGCCATTGCATCACCACCATCCATGGCGTCACCACCAACCATGGCGTCACCCCTAGCCATGGTGTCACCACCAGCCATGGCGGCATCACCAGCCATTGCGTCACTACCAGTTATGGCGTCACCCCTAGCCATGGCATCACCACCAGCCATGGCAGCATCACCAGCCATTGTGTCGCCAACAGCCATGATGGCATCACCGTATATGGCGTCATTCCCATTAATGGCATCACCACCATCAATGTCGTCACCACCAACCATGGCGTCACCCCTAGCCATGGTGTCACCACCATCAATGGCGTCATCACTAGCCATTGCGTCACCACCAGCCATTGCATCACCACCATCCATGGCGTCACCACCAACCATGGCGTCACCCCTAGCCATGGTGTCACCACTTTTCATGGCGTCATCACCAACCATTGCATCGTCACCACCAGCCATGGCATCGTCACCATCAGCCATGGCTTTGTCTCCACCAGCCATTGCATCGTCACCACCAGCCATGGCATCGTCACCATCAGCCATGGCTTTGTCTCCATCAGCCATTGCATCGTCACAAACCATGGCATCATCACTAGCAATGGCGTCAACACCAGCCATGACGTCAACACCAGCCATGACGTCAACACTAGCCATTGCGACATCACCAGCCATGGCTTCACCACCAGCCATAGTGTCTCTACCAGCCATGGTGTCACCATGGATTCATCACCAGCTATGGTGTCATCACCAGCCATTGCGACATCACCAGCCATGGCTTCACCACCAGCCATAGTGTCTCTACCAGCCATGGCGTCACCACCAGCCATTGAGTCACTACTAGACATTGCGTCATCACCAGCCATGGTGTCACTACCATCCACGGCGTCACTACCAGCAATGGCGTCACCACTAGACATGGCGTCACTACCTGCCATGGCGTCACTACCAGCCATGGCGTCACCACTAGACATGGCGTCACCACCAGCCATGGCATCACTACCAGCAATGGCATCACCACCAGCAATGGAGTCACCAACAGTAGTTGTATCATCACCAGAAATTGCATCACCACCAACCATTGCATCACCACCAGTCATTGCATCACCACCAGCCTTTACATCACCACCAGCCATAGAGTGACAACCAGCCATTGCATCACCACCAGCCATAGAGTCACAAACAGCCATTGCGTCATCACCATTAATGGCGTCACCAACAGCCATGGCGTCACCTCTAGACATCACGTCACCAACAGCCATGGCGTCACCTCCAGACATCACGTCACCACAAGCTATAGCTTCACCACAATCAATGCCATCACCACAAGTTAAGTGTTATGACCCAAAATTCCTCACCCGAGCACGAAGCTGTGAAGTCCACGCCATCTGTGAGTCCGCTCCCGAAAATCCCACAACATGGACAACACCATCTAGTGATGACGGGAGATGCCGGCAATAAGTGCTGGATGCCTGTCCTAGTCGGCTCGTGACGTAGCCGCTGCTGACCTCTGGTAAGGTGGCGCTTAGACAGTGAACGCCATCTATGGAGCGAATAGGTGAACGTTTGTGTCTAAGCTAGTAAGTGATGTTTCCTAGTGATCCTATGTAGTGTCCCCAGTACTGATGACGTTTCTGCTTTCAGAGTCAACCTAGTACCGCAGTGAGGTATGTTGAATCAGTCTACCCAAGGCTGCCAAGGTCTCTTCACCAGTCTGCTTTGTAGAAGTGGTGAGCCAACCCAGACGAACTCTGCTGAGTGTGTGATAGCCTGCCCGAGGAGCGGCTATGATGGGATTCGCCGTCTCCGGGGCTGGCTGGTGGAAGAGACCACCCACTGCGGTGCCGACCGAGGAGAGTGACCAGCGAGTCACACGAGGCTCCTGTCTAGGGCTCGCAACCCTAGTATTAGTCGTGGAGTGGTCTAACAGCGAGTCTCACTAGTACATGCCAGCTACAGGCGGGATTGTGGTTGTAGGCCATCACGATGAGGCACCCAGCGGGATTGTAATTTGGCTGGCCTATGGCCAGGGTAGATTCATCGTGGGTTCTGGGCCACGGAAGAGGAAACCAGGAAAGGCTACCCAGAGTGAGCATCGCCAAGTATCCAGTGTCTTCAGAGGAAGACGAAGATGTAAATACTGTGTAGTAATAATTCCCTTTTGCGACTTTAGTTTACATATGGTGGTGGGAAAGGAATATATATAATTAAGTATACTTGTGTATTTAATGTACCTCCCCTGTAGATTTTACTTGCGTTACGGAGCACACCCCTTGAAAGCCTCTACTAACTTGGGGCTGGATACCCAAAAAACTAATACCATCAGAAAAGAACCCGGTTGCGTCCCAGTAGGGCCGTAACACTATGGTGTCATCATAAGCCGTGGCATCACCACCAGCCATGGCGTCACTTCCTGCCATGGCATCACCACCAGCCATCCCAGCAAACAATTTTAGGTTGCCACAACATATCTGGAAAGTATTTGAAAGGATTGGAAACGTTTGTTTTATAGTATCAGATACGATATTGTGTGTGGAATTAAATAGGTTTCCAAAACTTATAACCAAAACCTACGTATCTAACACTAATTTGAGATGTTGTGGCAACTTTACAATCCTAACCTGAATCATTCATAATCCATTCATATACCAATATGAATCTCTTATGAAAGGTTTGAGCCTATAATCTGAACCCTTTTCACATATTTGTGTTTAAAGTTAAATTTCTTGAAATTAAATTATATTTTATATTATATTATTTTTATTATATTTTTTATTATATTATTATTTTCAATTTAAATATTAAAACCAATTTAAGGGTAAAAAAAATCTAATAATTTATATTTCTTTTATTATTTACTAACAATTATAATTATTTACTAACGGAGAGAGGAGAGGCTGTACGGCGGAGAGTGGCGGCTGTGGCGGACAGTGGCGGCGGTGGCGGATAGTGGTGGCAGGCGGACAGTGGCGGCGGGCGGACAGTGGCATCGGCGGGCGGACAGTGGCGGCGGGCGGACAGTAGCGGATAGTGGCGGCGGTGGCGGATAGTGGCGGCGGGCGGACAGTGGCGGCGGTGGCGGATAGTGGCGGCGGGCGGACCGTGGCGGCTGTGGCGGCGGTGGTGGACAGTCGCGGCGGGTGGACAGTGGCGGCGGCGGGCGGACAGTGGCGGCGGCGGGTGGACAGTGGCGGTGGCGGGCGGACAGTGGTGGCGGTGGCAGACAGTGGTGGCGGTGGCAGACAGTGGTGGCGGTAGCGGACAGTGGTGGCGGTGGCGGATAGTGGCAGCGGGCGGACAGTGGCGGCGGGCGGACAGTGGCAGCGGTGGCGGATAGTGGCGGCGGGCGGACAGTGGCGGCGGGCGGACAGTGGCGGCGGTGGCGGATAGTGGCGGCAGGCGGACAGTGACGGCGGGCGGACAGTGGCAGCGGCGGGCGGACAGTGGCGGCGGGCGGACAGTGGCGGCGGGCGGACAGTGGCGGCGGGTGGACAGTGGCGGCGGGCGGACAGTGGCGGATAGTGGCGGCGGGCGGACAGTGGCGGCGGTGGTGGATAGTGGCGGCGGGCGGACAGTGGCGGCGGGCGGACCGTGGCGGCTGTGGCGGCGGTGGTGGACAGTGGCGGCGGGCGGACAGTGGCGGCGGCGGGCGGACAGTGGCGGTGGCGGGCGGACAGTGGCGGCGGCGGGCGGACAGTGGTGGCGGTGGCAGACAGTGGTGGCGGTGGCAGACAGTGGTGGCGGTGGCGGACAGTGGTGGCGGTGGCGGATAGTAGCAGCGGGCGGACAGTGGCGGCGGGCGGACAGTGACAGCGGTGGCGGATAGTGGCGGCGGGCGGACAGTGGCGGTGGGCGGACAGTGGCGGCGGTGGCGGATAGTGGCGGCGGGCGGACAGTGGCGGCGGGCGGACAGTGGCGGCGATGGCGGATAGTGGCGGTGGGCGGACAGTGGCGGCGGGCGGACAGTGGCGGCGGTGGCGGATAGTGGCGGCGGGCGGACAGTGGCGGCGGGCGGACAGGGCGGCGGCGGGCGGACAGTGGCGGCGGGCGGACAGTGGCGGCGGGCGGACAGTGGCGGCGGTGGCGGATAGTGGCGGCGGGCGGACAGTGGCGGCGGTGGCGGATAGTGGCGGCGGGCGGACCGTGGCGGCTGTGGCGGCGGTGGTGGACAGTGGCGGCGAGCGGATACTGGCGGCTGTGGCGGATAGTGGCGGCGGGCGGACTGTGGCGGCTGTGGCGGCGGCGGGCGGACAGTGGCGGCGGGCGGACAGTGGCGGCGGGCGGACAGTGGCGGCGGTGGCGGATAGTGGCGGCGGGCGGACAGTGGCGGCGGTGGCGGATTGTGGCGGCGGGCGGACAGTGGCGGCGGACGGACAGTGGCGGCGGTGGCGGATAGTGGCGGCGGGTGGACAGTGGCGGCGGGCGGACAGTGGCGGCGGTGGCGGACAGTGGCGGCGGGCGGATAGTGGCGGCTGTGGCGGATAGTGGCGGCGGGCGGACCGTGGCGGCTGTGGCGGCGGTGGTGGACAGTGGCGGCGAGCGGATACTGGCGGCTGTGGCGGATAGTGGCGGCGGGCGGACTGTGGCGGCTGTGGCGGCGGTGGTGGACAGTGGCGGCGAGCGGACAGTGGCGGCGTCGGGCGGACAGTGGCGGCGGCGGCCGGACAGTGGTGGAGGCGGCCGGACAGTGGTGGAGGCGGGCGGACAGTGGTGGCAGCGGGCGGACAGTGGTGGCTGCAGGCGGACATTTGTGGCGGCGGGCGGACAGTGGTGGCGGCAGGCGGACAGTGGTGGCGGCGGGCGGACAGTGGTGGCGGTGGGCGGACAGTGGTGGCGGTGGCGGACAGTGGTGGGTGGTGACGGCGGTGGTGGTGGGTGGTGGCGGCTGGCGGTGGTGGGTGGTGGCGGCGGTGGTGGTGGGTGGTGATGGCGGCGGCGGCTGGTGGTGGTGGGTGGTGGCGGCGGGTGGTGGGTGGTGGCGGCTGTGGTGGGTGGTGGCGATCGGCGGTGGTGGGGGCTGGTGGCGGCTGGCGGTGGCGGCTTGCGGTGGCGACTGTGGCAACGGGCGGTGACGGCTCATAGCGGGCGGTGGTGGCGGCTGGTGGCAGGTGGTGGTGGTGGTGGTGGCGGCTGGTGGTGGCGGCTTGCGGTGGCGACTGTGGCAACGGGCGGTGACGGCTCATAGCGGGCGGTGGTGGCGGCTGGTAGCAGGTGGTGGTGGCGGTGGTGGCGGCTGGTGGCGGGCGGTGGCAGCTGGTGGCGGCTGGTGGTGACGGCTGGTGGCAGTGGCAGCTGATGGCGGCTGGTGGTGGTGGTGATGGCGGCTGGTGGTAGCGGCTAGCGGTGGCGACTGTGGCAACGGGCGGTGGCGGCTGATGGCGGGCGGTGGTGGCGGCTGGTGGTGGGGGCAGCTGGTGGCGGCTGGTGGCGGGCGGTGGTGTCGGCTGGTGTTGGTGGCAGCTGGTGGCGGCTGGTGGCGGTGATGGCGGCTGGTGGTGGTGGTGGTGGTGATGGCGGCTGGTGGCGGGCGGTGGCGGGTGGTGGCGGGCGGTGGCGGGCGGTGGCGGCTTGTGGCGGCTGGTGGTGGCGGTGGTGGTGGCGGCGGTGGTGGGTGGTGGTGGTGGTGGGTGGTGGTGGCGGCGGTGGTGGGTGGTGGTGGCGGCTGTGGTGGGTGGTGGCGGTGGTGTCGGCGGCGGCTGTGGTGGGTGGTGGTGGCGGCGGCGGCGGCTGTGGTGGGTGGTGGCGGCGGCGGCGGTGATGGGTGGTGGCGGCGGTGGTGGTGGGTGGTGGTGGCGGCGGCGGTGATGGGTGGTGGCAACGGTGGTGGTGGGTGGTGGTGGCGGCGGTGGCTGGTGGTGGTGGGTGGTGGCGGCGGGTGGCGGTGGTGGGTGGCGGTGGCTGGTGGCGGGTGGCGGCTGGTGGTGGGTGGTGGCGGCGGGTGGTGGGTGGCGGTAGTGGGTGGCGGTGGCTGGTGGCGGGTGGCGGCTGGTGGTGGGTGGTGGCAGGTGGCGGCTGGTGGTGGGTGGTGGCAGGTGGCGGCTGGTGGTGGGTGGTGGCAGGTGGCGGCTGGTGGTGGGTGGTGGGTGGTGGCGGCTGGTGGTGGGTGGTGGCGGGTGGCGGCTGGTGGTGGTGGGTGGTGGCGGCGGGTGGCGGCTGGTGGCGGCCACCTGGGACACACCCTTCACCACTGAAGGTCTGAGCACAACTAACCATATGTCTCTCTCACCCACCAGAACAGTGTTGCCAGCTCGCGCTCTCAAAATGTTTCCTTCAAAGATTGTATATTATCTCTGAACAACAAGTTTGATTATCAAGGAAATATACATATATTATTGTCACATTAATACTGTGCAATATCTTATTACATTCCTGCTATATAATTATAATTTGAAACAGGACAAAAAATCCAACATATATATAAAAACCAACATTAGAGATCACTAGGCCTAGGCCTAGGCCTATCTGTGACCACACATCCTGCTTTGCTGGCCTGCTACCCTCTCACACCTCACACTCTTAACTCTCTCATAATCACTCTCACTCTCAATCACTCTTACGCACTATTACTCACTCTTACTCTCAATCACTCTTACACACTATTACTCACTCTTACTCTCAATCACTCTTACGCACTATTACTCACTCTTACTCTCAGTCATCCTTACTCACTCTCATGCTCACTCTTACTCTGTCACTCTTACTCTCTGTCACTCTTACTCTCTGTTACTCTTACTCTCTGTCACTCTTGCTCTGTCACTCTTACTCTGTCACTCTTACTCTGTCACTCTTACTCTCTGTCACTCTTACTCTCTGTCACTCTTACTCTCTGTCACTCTTACTCTGTCATTCTTACTCACTCTCAGTCACCCTTACCCATTCATACTCACTCTCTCACTCTTACTCTCATACTCTTACTCTCAATTACTCTTACTCTCAATCACTCTTACTCCCAATCACTCCTACTCCCAATCATTCCTACTCTCAATCACTCCCACTCTCATTCTTACTCTTACTCTTACTCCCAATCACTCTTACTCTCAATCACTCTTATTCTCATTCTTACTCTTACTCTCACTCTTACTCTTACTCCCAATCACTCTTACTCCCAATCACTCTTACTCTCAATCACTCCTACTCTCAATCACTCTTACTCTCAATCACTCTTACTCTCATTCTTACTCTTACTCACTCTTACTCTCAATCACTCTTATTCTCATTCTTACTCCTACTCCCAATCACTCTTACTCCCAATCACTCTTACTCTCAATCACTCTTACTCCCAATCACTCTTACTCTCAATCACTCTTACTCTCAATCACTCTTACTCTCAATCACATTTACTCTCAATCACTCTTACTCTCACTAACTCTCAATCACTCTTACTCTCACTCTAACTCTCAATCACTCTTACGCACTATTACTCACTCTTACTCTCAGTCATCCTTACTCACTCTTACTCTGTCACTCTTACTCTCTGTCACTCTTACTCTCTGTCACTCTTACTCTCTGTCACTCTTACTCTGTCACTCTTACTCTCTGTCACTCTTACTCTCTGTCACTCTTACTCTCTGTCACTCTTACTCTCTGTCACTCTTACTCTCTGTCACTCTTACTCTCTATCACTCTTACTCTGTCATTCTTACTCTGTCACTCTTACTCACTCTCAGCCACCCTTACCCATTCATACTCACTCTCTCACTCTTACTCTCAATTACTCTTATTCTCAATCACTCTTACTCCCAATCACTCCTACTCCCAATCACTCCTACTCTCAATCACTCTTATTCTCATTCTTACTCTTACTCTCACTCTTACACTTACTCCCAATCACTCTTACTCCCAATCACTCTTACTCTCAATCACTCTTACTCTCAATCACTCTTACTCTCAATCACTCTTACTCTTACTCACTCTTACTCTCAATCACTTATTCTCATTCTTACTCCTACTCTCACTCTTACTCCTACTCCCAATCACTCTTACTCCCAATCACTCTTACTCTCAATCACTCTTACTCCCAATTATTCTTACTCTCAATCACTCTTACTCTCAATCACTCTTACTCTCAATCACTCTTACTCTCACTCTAACTCTCAATCACTCTTACTCTCATACTCACTCTTACTCTCAATCACTTTTACTCTCACTCTTACTCATTCTGTCACCCTTACTCTCACTCTAACTCACTCTGTCACTCTTACTCACTCTCAGTCACTCTTACTTATACTCAATCTTACTCACACTTACACACTCTCTGGCACTCTCACTCACCTTCAGTCACTCTTACTCACTCTTACCCACTCCCGCTCACTCTTACTCACTCTAGTTAATAAGAACACGCCAATATAAGACAACAAAACGTTTTCAGATTCTTTCACACCACTTTCCAGCAACTTTTATAATTTATATAAATTATCTTAGGGAATAATACATAAATTATGTATTTAAACATGATATTAGTGTTTAGTGGAATGCATAAGGAGTCAAATTGTGTTAAAAAGAGCGATATTTAGAAAAGTTGGAAAACTACTTTTTTCTGATCATATTATAACAAATGGATTTTGAACGTTTCACTCAGCCAATATATATCATTCACAATTTATTAATGAATTTTACAAAAAAAAAAACCATAAATTTTATATTTAAACATGTAAAAACTATTTGTAATACATTAAGAACAAAAAAGTTGTAGAAAAACAATTTATTATAAAACCTTTGTGTTTGGATTTTTTGATTAAAAGTTTCTCAAAGGCTCTCCTGCACCATTCTCAATGCAAATCATTCCCACGCCTATGGGAAGAGATAGACAAACGTTTTCTAGATGATTTGTGTTTGCTGGGATGGTGTCACTAACAGTAATGGAGTCATCACCAGCCATTGCGTCACCACCAGTTATGGCGTCACCACAAGCCATAGCGGCATCACCAGCCATGCCGTCACCACCAGCCATGGTGTCACAACCACCCATGACATCATCACCAACAGTCAATGTGTCACCACCATCCGTGGCGTCACCGCCAGCCATTGTGTCGCCAACAGCCATGATGGCATCACCTACCATGGCGTCATCCCCATTAAGGGCGTCACCACTAGCTATGGCGTCACCACTTGCCATGGCAACATCACCAGCCATGGCGTCACTACCAGCCATGTCATCGGCATCACTAGCCATGGCATCATCACCACCATCCATAGAATCGTCACCACCAGCCATTGCATCGTCACCATCAGCCATTGCTTTGTCACCTCCAGCAATAGCATCGTCACCACCAGCCATTGCATTGTCACCTGCCATGGCGTCATCACTATCCATGGCGTCATCACTACCCATGGCGTCATCACTACCCATGACGTCAACACCAGCCATTGTGTCCCCACCAGCAATGGAGTCATCACCAGCTATGGTGTCATCACCTTCCATGGCATCACCACGAGCCATGGCATTGGCACCACCAGCCATTGCGCCACCATTAGTCATTTCGTTACCCCCAGCAATGGTGTCACCACCAGCCATGGCGTCACTCCAACCATGGCGTCACCACCAGCCATTGCATCACCATTAGCCATTTCGTGACCACCAGCCATGGTGTCACCAACGGCCATGGTGTCACCACCATCCATGGAGTCATCACCAGTCATTGCGTCACCACCAGCTATGGCGTCATTACCAGTCTTGGCATCGTCAACACCAGCCATTTCGTAACCAACAGCCGAGGCATCGTCACCACCAGCCATGCAAGCATCACCACCAGCAATGGCATCGTCACCACCAGCCATGATACCGTCACTACCAGACATGGTATCGTCACCACCAATAATGGCATTCCCACCACCAGAGTTGAATAAACTACAACCCCAGTCTGTCCAACCAACATTGGTCTAACCAGGATGGACCCCAGGACGGACGGACCCCAGTGGACCCCCAGGTCGTTTGTCAAAGATTCACAGGAGAAAGTAGAAAGAAGAATGAAGAGAGAAGAAAGAAGAAAGAAGAGGAGGAGAAGATAAGGCCAAACTAGGACACGGTGACTAGTGTCCCTTGCTGGTGTCAGCATCATTGCATGGAGCGTAATTGCAAGACAGGATCGTTTGTATTAACTGGCCGCCGCTCCTGCAAGCATGTTGCTCTGTTGAGTGATTTCCCCTGTGTCGTGCAGACTTGATGTAGCGGTCAGAAGTGGCTCTCTGAAGGAGGCGTGCTGGAGCAACAGGGAGCTGAGAATAGAATGGATTCTACGGTGCCAACTACATGGAGGTTTCGAAACTTATATTTCCCTTTATGCTGTGAAGAACCCCAAGATACGGCAATCATGGTGATGGATGTAGGGCCAATTCAAGATCAGCTGGGACAACCGAATTCCACGGTCCTCTGCGCAGTGCAAGAAGTACAGTTTCCACGGCGTTGTTGTGCGTCAACGACAGAGAGGCGACTGATGCAGTTGTGTTGATGAAAGACGTCACAGGAATATCTACAAGACCAAGGAGTGATGTTGCCCAGCCAGAGACAATTGATGTCGGTCTACATATTTTTGTTTGTTAGAGTAGGATGATGTAAAATTGTTTAGCTAGGATGTAATTTTTTTTTATAAAGATTTCACACCCTGCTTATTGGCATTAGCAGTGTTGCAAAAACTTTATTAAGGGAGAAGGGGAGATGTAACACCGTAAAGGTGTTTTGTATTTAAGATATTTATAGAAAAGGAGTCACAGACAAGATTTCGAGAGACGTCAGGTTGGCGGCCCCTAGAAATTAAGAAACTCTCACCTCTAAGTGTTAATGACCACCAAGTGACCAAGGTCTGGTCATGGGAAGTTGACCTGGTCTCTGCTAATCTCATAATTGCAGGCGGCTAGCCTGGGGTGACCTTCAAACATGCCGGCAATTTAAGGTGTGGCTTGATAGAGTGCCTGGGGCTATCTACTTGTGGGCGGAGTTAGCTAGTTGGTCCCCAATATATACCAGGGTACTGTACACAGAGATAGACAGAAAGAGACAGAAGACAGGAGAACAGCCAGAGTATTAGGAGCAGAGCAGAGTAAGAGCAGAGAAGAACCGAGAGGCTGTCAGCTGGACGGGGCAGGACAGTCTCTGTCAACTACAGTTCCCCCCCCCCCTCTCTCTAGCCAGCTATAGGCAGACACTTGGTGAGTTGAACATGAAAGGTGACGTTTACTAGTGTTGTATGACAATCAGGGGGAAGACGGCTGTAATGGTCTCGAATTCTGGTGTAGTGACTCACTTGGTACATTAATAATGAACCTTCAGTTCGATTGCTTGAATTCTGATATTTATCATGCTAAATAATTAATTGATTCATTTACTTTTAATTTTACATTAATTGTGTTCCCGAGTTGTTGGAATTTATGATATATGCAAAATAGACTGTAGAGTACTCTATAAATACAGAATCTTGCCTGGAACATGATTCCAGTTAAATCATGCTAATGATGACCTGTTGATACATTTTAGAGAATTTTGTGATACCGACAAGTTCCATTCCTTGTCTTGGATATAATGGTCTTGAATGGATTGTGAAAGTGTACCTTCTACTTCTACAATCAACTTTTCTATTTCTACCTATCTTCCATTCTACCTCTACCACTACTTCCTATTTATCCCTGTTCCCTCTCTCCCACTCTCCCTTTTACCTGACCACACTCCTCCCTCCTCCTGCCTAGTCATCCCTCCTCCCTCACCCCAAACCCTCACTAATTACTTTTTTATTCATCTCTTTCCTTTCGTTTCTCTGATTCGTTCGTGACAGTGAATTTGTGGTCGTGACACCTAGGTAATCATATATCTAGGTCACCAGGTGATGAATTAGAGAGCTGCAGTAGGGACTCTGGGGGGAGCTTTAGATTAGCTAACTGGCGGTGGGGGGGGGGGGAATAATGGATAAAAGAGAGCTGTTTCCCCCAATCCCCCGTTAGAATAACTAAATAGGGGTGGAATAATGGACAAGATAGAGCTATTTTCCCCACCCCGCATTACAACCTTCCATGGTGTCATCACCAGCCATGGCGTCACCACCAGCCATGGCATCACCAATAGTCATGGCGTCACCAGCAGCCATGGCGTCACCACCAGCCATGGCGTCACCACCAGCCATGGCGTCACCACCAGCCATTGCGTCACCACCAGCCATGGTGTCATAACTAGCCATGGCTTCACCACCAGCCATTGCGTCACCACCAGCCATGGTGTCATAACTAGCCATGGCGTCACCACCAGCCATTGCGTCACCACCAGCCATTGCGTCACCACCAGCCATGGTGTCATAACCAGGCATGGCGTCACCACCAGCCATTGCGTCACCACCAGCCATGGTGTCATAACTAGCCATGGCTTCACCACCAGTCATGGCGTCACCACCAACCATGGCATCACCACCAGCCCTGGTGTCATCAACAGCCATGGCGTCACCACCAGCCATGGCGTCACCACCAGCCATGGCGTCACCACCAGCCATGACGTCACCACCAGCCCTGGTGTCATCACCAGCCATGGCTTCACAACCAGCCATGGCGTCACCACCAGCCATGGCATCACAACCAGCCATGGCGTCACAACCAGCCATGGAGTCACCACCAGCCTTGGTGTCATAACCAGCCATGGCGTCACCACCAGCCATTGCGTCACCACCAGCCATGGTGTCATCACCAGCCATGGCGTCACCACCAGCCATGGCGTCACCACCAGCCATGGCGTCACCACCAGCCATGGCGTCACCACCAGCCATGGCATCACAACCAGCCATGGCGTCACAACCAGCCATGGAGTCACCACCAGCCATGGTGTCATAACCCGCCATGGCGTCACCACCAGCCATAGTGTCACCACCAGCCATGGTGTCATCACCAGCCATGGCATCATAACCAGCCATGGCGTCACCACCAGCCCTGGTGTCATCACCAGCCATGGCGTCACCACCAGCCATGGCGTCACCACCAGCCATGGCGTCACCACCAGCCATGGCGTCACCACCAGCCCTGGTGTAATCACCAGCCCTGGTGTAATCACCAGCCCTGGTGTAATCACCAGCCCTGGTGTAATCACCAGCCCTGGTGTAATCACCAGCCATGGCATCACCACCAGCAATGGCGTCACCACCAGCAATGGCGTCACCACCAGCAATGGCGTCACCACCAGCCCTGGTGTAATCACCAGCCCTGGTGTAATCACCAGCCCTGGTGTAATCACCAGCCCTGGTGTAATCACCAGCCATGGCATCACCACCAGCCATGGCGTCACCACCAGCCCTGGTGTCACCACCAGCCATGGCGTCACCACCAGCCATGGTTGTTGGGAAGAAAGCTTACTCTCTATTAATTGATTGATAATTAATTAATAGATTAATTTAAATTAACTAAAGGACCACCCTATTTTGACTGAAAAGGGAAACAGATAAAATTAAATGATAAGGACTGAAACACCAGTGCCTATGGATAAGAAACTATTAAAGATTATTCTTTAAACTTCAATGGGTTGTATAATATTTTAATGTTCGAGAATAAACTTTCCGTCCTTCACAAAATGGGGGGTTAATACCAGAAGTAATCTACTCCCAGTACATTCATCGAGGCTGGTTCTTCCTCGAATAAAATTAGTAATTTCTCCTAAATACTATATTAAGAAACATTAGATAAAATGATTAATGGTAAAAAGATTATATGTTGATTAACCAAGAAATTATTCTCTTTTGACTTTTATGAGGCTATCATATTACGTTAGATATCTCAAATCAAATAAACTAAATATCTTCGACTGATAATCGATTCTAGATTTTTCTCAATCAAAGAAATAATTGAAAAGGGTTCAGCTGCTTAGCTCTAATAGTGAATGAAGAGGTAGAGGTGCAATGGCTTCGTCTGCTACTTGCTGCAACACGTGAACTCGAGCATGGCGTGGGAACATGAGGAGCAAGACCGCTTACAACACAAGCTGAAATTTCAACTGAATATACTAATTGTTTACACCTACTATCTAGTATCCTCACTATGCCATAGAAGGAATAAATTTAATTCCTTATGGACGTACTTATTGTTTGGGGAGGTCGCGTAGAGTAACGATGGACAGTGCATAGTAAAAAGATATACACAGAGATCTCATGATATAACTAATACTTGGACACTTAACCTGCTGGTTGTCCACTGAAGCAATCCTAGATTGCTTCTGGAGCAATTGCACGCTCCTAGGCCGATTAACTGCAAGGGCCTAACGTAGAATTGATGAAAATTCGACTCTCCCGGACGCTCGATGTTGGCGTCGCTTGATAAGCCAGATGGCGAACTCCACATGGCGTCTCTCCGCCGTCCCTCAACTCGTCTCACGCATTCACAATAGAATTTAATAATCACGGGTAATTCTTTTCCGTGTAATTACTGATGTAATGCGTTAATGAGAACCGGGTTGCAATTATAGGGAATTAAATAATATCATATTCTCGTTAAATGGTGTTAATCGAGAAATGGAGATTAATTTTATTTCCTCCAGAGCATTCGTACGTAACAGAT